AGCTTTTGGAGTGGGCTCTCACACCACACTTAGAGACTCAAAAACCTCCCCAAGGAAAGAGCCAGTTCAAGCCTTTGTCTCAAAGGACTCAACATCTTGGCTGTTCCCTCTGGACCCCCAGGCCTGCGAGTTGAGCCATCTCCCTTTCCTCTCCATAGGAGGATGCAGGCCCTTCAGGGCTTTCCTGGAAGAAGCCTGGAATATGCTAAGGAGGAGGGGGCAGGCCCCTGGGAGGGAGTTCTGGGGCCTCTTCCTTCCCTCCCAAAGTGCCCTCAGGGTGGTGGCCCCCAGCACGGTCTGGCCCAGGCCTATCCTCCTCTGGCCCCTGGTGCTAGCCTGGTGGGAGGGATGTATGCTTGGGAATCAGGCAAGCCTGGGTTTGAATCCTGGCTTTTTGGCTGACTACTGGGTGATTCAGGGCAGATAATTGAGCTTCTTTTGGAAGACAGGGATCATGACGATCCTCGGCTCAGAGAGTTGTGCTGCAGGTTTGATGGAGCAAAGATGCCAAGCACTTAACATCAGGCATGGAATAAACGCGCAATAGCTGGTGCTGCAACAAACAGGACTTCCTCCTCCCGCTCACCTCCAGGCCACACTCTATTAATGAGGCCTCCAGAGTTGGCCAAGGGCAGAACTCTGGGTTTGCCCTGCCGCAGCTGCTCTCGCTCCTGCATACCAGGCCAGTAAGGCTGCTGTGGCAACTTTGATACCCACCCATGCTAGAAGCCCAGGGATCCATAGGGAAACACCTTGACAAACCCACCACGCACCTGGGGGTCTACTGGATGGATTTAGGAAAGGACCAACGAAGCCGAGGCACCAAAAGGAAGTGGGATGAAGGGGGGCAGGTCTCCAAGAGGGACTGGAAGCTTCTGAGATGCTGCTAGACCTCACCTGAGGGCTGCCTGGTTTAGTGCTGACTCCAGAACCCTGGGGTCCTCGGTGTCTCCCAGAACTTGGTTCTTAGTGTGAACCCTGGATGGGACCATGGACCTTTCCCACCACCCTCAGGGACATCCTGCAGGTCTCTGAGGGTCCCACCACAGTCGTCATCCTCCTGGATGATGAACGCCTTCTCTTTCCTGCCCCAAGATTTTGCATCAGTCTCCTGGGTCACTGACCTGGCAGATGCCTCCTGGTAGTAACGTTGCTTTTGGCTGCTGCAATGAACTGAATGTTTGCATCTCCCTAAATTCCTGTGTTGCAATCCTAACCTGTAAGGTGATGGTATTAGGATAGAAGACATTTGGGAGGTGATCAGGTCATGAGGGTGGAGCCCTCATAAATGAGATTAGTGTCCTTATAACAGAGGCCCCACAGAGATCCCTTGTCCCTTCCACATGTGAGGACACAGCTGGAAGGTGCCATTTATGAACCAGGGCCCTCACTGGATATGCTGGTCCTTGATTTTGGACTTCCCGGCCTCCAGGACTGTGAGGAATAAATGCGTGTCGTTTATAATCCACTCAGTTTTTGGCGTCTTGTTGCAGCAGCCCAAGAGATCTAAGACATCGTCCCAGCCCCATCTTCCTGAAGCCCTCCTGCTTTGTTTGGGAAATGTCTCGCTGATGAGTTTGGTGGGAGTCAGAGGCTGCCTCCATTATAGACACTAACAACGCCAGTTGCCTGCCTTCCAGCCTCCCTTGCGTCCAGCATGGGACATCACCTACTCGCAGCAAATCAGATGTAAAAGGGACAGTGGAGAATCCTTTCTGGGGTGGGCAGGAACAGTGTAGCAGCAACAGGCAGCTTGCGTCCAGGCTAGAGCCTTAGGCCAGGGACCAGGCATGGCAGTGGCTGCTGGGCACACTGGGCTGTTGCTGTCCTGGGTCGGTGGTGGCAGCACAGCCGTCCCCATTCCTCTAGCTGTGTGGCGTGAGCGTGGCCATGTTTCTCCCTCAGCTCCCCTTATTCTTGTTTATTTTCCAAACCAAGTGCTCCAGCTTTCCTAGACGTTTCCTCGAAATACCTGGAAATATGTCAATAAGCTCATCTTCTGATTATATTTTCAGAGTAGGTTTCTGTGGCTAGCAATTAAGAACCTTGATTGAGGCCAGGCGCAGTGGCTCACGCCTGTAATCCCAGCACTTTGGGAGGCTGAGGTGGGTGAGGTTGGCAGTTGGAGACCAACCAGCCTGGCCAACATGGTGAAACCCCGTCTCTACTAGAAATACAAAAATTAACTGGGCATGATGATGCATGCCTGTAATCCCAGCTACTCAGGAGGCTGAGGCAGGAAATTGCTTGAACCTGGGAGGTGGAGGTTGCAGTGAGCTGAGATGGCACCACTGAACTCCAGCCTGGTGACAGAGCAAGACTCTGTCTCAAAACAAACAAACAAACAAACCTTGACTGACACACTCCTTCCCTCTAGGGTATGTATCTCTTGCTTGGGCCTTGGAAGACACGGCCTCATCTCTGGCCTGTTCTGGTTGGTCAGTTGGTTTGTCTGAGGTACACTTATTCATCCTCATTAGGGTTTGTCCCACTGACCGAGGAAAGCAGCCTTCCTCCTGTTCAGAGTTAGCATGTGGACTTGGTCCCTTGTGGCCTGTCAGTCCTCTGCTCCTCTCCAGCGGCTGAGCTGACCGGGGACCTGGCAGCCGGCTGTCTCTACCCTTCTCAGAGATTCCAACAGCTGGCCCCAGATCCTGAGGTCTCAAATCATGAGGTCCTGAGTTCAAGCAAAACACTCTGGTTTAGTTTGGGGAATCTGTTTATTTATGGGAAGATCTCCAAGATATTTTAAGTGAAAAAAAAAAAGCAAGTGTTCAGTTATTATGTACTATACAGCCTGGTAAGGGACCACACGTGCATATGTGTATGTGAATGTGTAAGGAGGTGAAAATCCTGTTAGTTCAACAGCTAGACCTAGAATACCTCTGAGAGAGAAAATTTCATTGACAGTGCATGTTAGCTATTGAGGAGGACACCCAGAGGAACTGGATGGAGACCATGAAACAGAGAGATGGAGTCGATTGTTCTGTGCATTCCCTGCACTGGCATTTGAGGTTGTAATGAAGAGTTGGAAAGGAGGGGAGTCACAGAAGGGAAAGCAGGGAATATATGAGGCGGTGAAAGCCCCCTCCAAATGATGGCCAAGAAGAAATGCCCAGTGGCAACAGTCGTAGAGCTTTTCAATACAAGGATGGCAATGACACTGACTGCAATGCTTGTAGTGTGAGCTGCTTTTAAAAAACGCTTTGTGGCCGGGCGCGGTGGCTCAAGCCTGTAATCCCAGCACTGTGGGAGGCCGAGGCGGGTGGATCACGAGGTCAAGAGATCGAGACCATCCTGGTCAACATGGTGAAACCCCGTCTCTACTAAAACTACAAAAAATTAGCTGGGCATGGTGGCGCGTGCCTGTAATCCCAGCTACTCAGGAGGCTGAGGCAGGAGAATTGCCTGAACCCAGGAGGCGGAGGTTGCGGTGAGCCGAGATAGCGCCATTGCACTCCAGCCTGGGTAACAAGAGCGAAACTCCATCTCAAAAAAAAAAAATAAAATAAAATAAAATAAAATGCTTTGTATTATATTACCATATTGACCCATGTAATTCTCATGATCGACTGTGACATCAAGACACAATAGATCAATAGATGAGGAAGAGCTACTTCAGAATGGTGAGGCACATTACCTAGCAAGGGGTGGGATGGGATTTTTTTTTTGGTGGGGGATGGAGTTTCCATCTTGTCATCCAGGCTGGAGTGCAATAGCACAATCTCAACTCACTGCAACCTCCGACTCCTGGGTTCAAGCAATTCTCCTGGCTTGGCCTCACGAGTAGCCTGCCAACTTGCCTGGCTAATTTTTGTTCTTTTAGTAGAGATGGAGTTTCTCCACATTGGCCAGACTGGTCTTGAACTCCTGACCTTGTGATCCACCCGCCTGAGCCATCCTGCTTGCAACCTCATGACAGACCCTGAACCAGAAAAATACAGCCAAGCTGCTGACCCGCAGACATTGTGAGATTACAGGTGTGAGCCACTGCGCCCAGCCAGAATGGGATTTGAGCAGGGGGTATTCAACTATGGAATCTTTCTCTACTATGCTATGGTGTCAAGAACCCCATGGAGAAGGGGGATGCCCCCTATGCAAAGGACAGGTGGGTTCTACTCACTCATACTAATACTTGAATCCTAACGTCTGGCTTATATGGAAGTGAGAAATCTGGAAGCCTAGGCAACAAGCTTATCCCAGCAGGGTTGGCTTTTGCTCTCTACTTTATATATTTATATAGTGTTGGGATTTAAGACCATTTTAGGCCAGGCACAGTGGCTCCCACCTGTAATCCCAGCACTTTGGGTGGCCAACTAGGGGAATCACTTGAGGTCAGGAGTTTGAGCCCAGCCTGGCCAACATGGCGAAACCCCGTCTCTACTAAAAATACAAAAATTAGCTAGGGGTGGTGGCGTGTGCCTGTAATCTTAGCTACTTGGGAGGCTGAGGCAGGAGAGTCACTTGAACTCGGGAGACAGAGGTTTCAGTGAGCCGAGATCACACCACTGCATTCCAGCCTGGATGACAGAGTGAGATGCTGTTTCAACAAGAAGTTGAAGAAGAAGGAGGAGAAGGAGAAAAGATACCATTTTAGGCTGGGTGTGGTGGCTCACACCTGTAATTCCAGCACTTTGGGAGGCTGAGACAGGTGGATTGCTTGAGCTTAGGAGTTTGAGACCAGCCTGGGCAACATGGATAACCCGTGTCTCTACAAAAAATACAAAAATTAGCCAAGTGTGGTGGTACACACCTGTGGACCAAGCTACTCGAGAGGCTGAGGTGGGAGGATTGCTTGAGCCCAGGAGGTTGAGGCTGGGGTGAGTTTAGATCATGCCACTGCACTCCAGCCTGGGCAACAGAGGAAGACCCTGCCAGAAAGAAAGAGAGAGCGAAAGAAAGAAAAGAAGAAAGACAATTTTCGTATTACTTTTATAACATAAAATTTACCATTTAAACTATTTATAGGTGTACAATTCAGTGGCATTAATCACATTTACAATGTTGTGCAACCACCACCACCACTATTTCTGAAAATTTTTTCATCATCCCAAACAGAAAACTCTATCCATTAAGCAATTGTGAAAACTGCTGCTGTGAACGTGGGTGTATACATGTCTGTTCCAGTCCTTGCTCTCAGTTTTTCTGAGCATATATCCAGAAGTGGAATTGCCAGGTCACATGGTAATTCTATATTTACGTTTTGGAGGAAACACCAAACTGTCGTTTATAGTAACCGCACCATTTCACATTCCCACTGGCGATGCCCAGGCTTCCAATTTCTTCACAGCCTCTCCAACGCTTGTTGTTTTCTGTTATTTTTTGGTTTCGTTTTATTTTGTTTTTAACAATAGTCATCCTGACAGTATTACTTTTAAAATCAGAAATAAGTAAGAAAAGAAATATTCCCCAGGGCTTCTCCAGGCTATAGTCTATGCCACCAAGAAAGACTGAATCGTTGACACCCATAGGAGAGCGTGTGCTGGGAGTCCCTGTGGGCACCAGGGAAGTGTGTTTGAACTCCAGCCTGGCCCACATCAGCTTACCCAGCAGTCCCCCAGAGCCAGCAGTTTCAGGTCAGAATCTCCCCGGTCACCACTGGATCCTCAGGTGATTTGGAAGTAAAGGACTTCTCTGTGGACCTGGGTTAGTGCCCCATAGGCGTGTTGACCAGCACCCGTGTGGGCCAGGCTGCGATGCTAGCCACACCCCTGTACCCATCCCCAAGTTCGAAGGTCAAAAGTTCTCTGAGAACATCCAGGGTCACTATCCCTGAGGTCTCTGGTATACTATGTGGCCCCGATTAGGGCAAAGGGAAGGGATCTGAGGGTCACTCTCTTCCTGTACCCACAGGGCCTTGCTGCTCTTGAAGGATTGATTGTCCTGGCAGGATCAAAAGTGGCTCCTGCAAGGGGACACCGTGCCCTCCTTCCATTATCATAGCACTCCCTTTCTTCCAGGAGGAGGCAGCAGCATGTCCTGGGGAGAGAAACAATAAGCTTAGGGTTATCAGGGCACTCCCTGTCTCCTGTCTGAGAGCCTGCAGGGTGGAGTCAGGGCTATCTTACTGTGTGGTGACAAGCAGCTGACAATGCAGGGGCACAATAGAGTCCCCACCCCATGGCCCATATCAGAGGCGTGAGGGTTTGGTGAGCTGCTGGTTCTAAGATAATGAATTAGTGCTATGGGGACAAAAGACCTAGGACCCAGGACCATAAGATCACAGGGCATTAGGGTTTCAGGGAACCACCTTGTTTCTCAGTCCCAATTCCTTTGATATCATTTAACAAATGATCAAAACTCTAGACTAACAGCTCTTGAGCTCAGGCTTTCCATTTGTTTGTTCATCATTGTATTAGCACAGTGTGGTAGCTAGCTCTCACAATGGCCCCAGCAATCATTGCCTCTAGTATTCACATCCACGTGTGGTCTTTTTATTTATTTATTTATTTTTGAGATGGAGTCTCGCTCTGTCACCCAGGCTGGAGTGCAATGGCACAGTCTGAGGTCATTGCAACTTCCGCCTCCCAGGTTCAAGCGATTCTCCTGCTGCCTCAGCCTCCCGAGTAGCTGGGATTACAGGTGCCCACCACCACGCCTGGCTGTGTGGTCCATCTTATATGAAGATGGCTGATGTGTGATCAATAGGCTCTTGCGGAAGTCATGGTATTTCACTCCCAAGGCTAGGTCATAAAGGGCATTGTGATACCTACCTTGATTTCTCTTGGATCACTCTTTCTGAGGGAAGACAGTCACCATATTGTGAGGATGCGCAAGCAGCCCTGTGGAGAGGTCAACACAGGGAGGAACTGAAGCATCTTCCCAACAGCCAGCACCAGCTTGCCAGCCAAGTAAAGTGAGCCACTTTGGAAACAGATCCTCCAGCCCCAGCCAAGCCTTCAGATAACTGTAGCCCCAGACAACATCCTGCTTGCAACCTCATGACAGACCCTGAACCAGAAAAACACAGCCAAGCTGCTGACCCCCAGACATTGTGAGAGATCATGAATGTTTACTGCTGTTCTAAGACGCTGCTTTAGGGTACTTTGTGGTACAACAATAGAATACTGAAAATACAGAGAGCCTAGCACGGTGCCTGCACATGGTCACCACTCAATCGTTGAGTGAATGAATCCTGCTTAGTACTGAACACTCCCACTGACAGCCAACTGTGCCATCTCTCAAAACAATTCATTCTATCTTTGTGCAGCTCTGTTAAAGATTATTAGAATTGGCCGGGCGCAGTGGCTCAAGCCTGTAATCCCAGCACTGTGGGAGGCCGAGGCGGGTGGATCACGAGGTCAAGAGATCGAGACCATCCTGGTCAACATGGTGAAACCCCGTCTCTACTAAAACTACAAAAAATTAGCTGGGCATGGTGGCGTGTGCCTGTAATCCCAGCGACTCAGGAGGCTGGGGCAGGAGAATTGCCTGAACCCGGGAGGCGGAGGTTGCGGTGAGCCGAGATCGCGCCATTGCACTCCAGCCTGGGTAACAAGAGAGAAACTCCGTCTCAAAAAAAAAAAAAAAAAAAAAAAAGATTATTAGAATTAAATTGTATCTTTCTCAGTACAGCACACATACATTGTGTGCACAGGAAATTTACCCACAGACTCATTCATGGAACCCCAAACCTTGTGGAGAAAATTGAGCTAGAGGTGTGCTATACTTCACAGCTGCCTTGGGATGAAGAACCTTGGTTGGTTTCTGAGAAGAACCTTGGTTGGTTCCTTATCTTTGTTCTTACTGCTTCAGTCTCTGCATGCTCTCCATTTCTGGGCTATTCCTTTACTCTCTATTTAGTTTTCATTTTTGTTCTTTTTTAAAAAAAAAATTTCTAAGAGTTTTTATTATTGTTATTCTCTGAATGTCTTTTTATAGTATCCTGTTCTTGTTTAATCAATGTAATACATTCTTCTCATTCTTGTCTATGTTTATTCTTGAGTAGTCAGCACCTAGCATGATGACTAGAACTTAGTAAGTGTTCAATAAATATTTGTTGACTAAATGAATGAGTTTAACAAATAATTTTGTCTTGGTGAGTTGTATAGTGTGTGTGTGTGTGTGTGTGTGTGTGTGTGTGTGTGTGTGTGTGTATGTGTGTGTGTGTACATATATATGTGTGTGTGTGTGTGTGTGTGTGTGTGTGAATCTTTTCCAGATAATGCTGAATTGTTTTTTTCAAGGTGATTGTACTACTTTATCTCTTCCCATCAATGGACCTTCCTGGACGGATCCTCTCATTTTCTTATCTTTGTTCTTACTTCTTCAATCTCCGCATGCTTGTCCTTTCTGGACTATTCCTTTACTCTCTATTTAGTTTTTATTTCTGATATATATATATATATATATATATATATATATATTTTAATTTCGAAGAGTTTTTCTTATTGTTATTCTGTGAATGTCTTTTTATCTTATCCTGTTCTTGTTTAATCAATGTAACACATTCTTTTCATTTTCTGATGTTATTAATGGCATTTTCCAATGTGTTCTTCTTTCTGTATATTCTCGGTTTTCTCCAACTTCCTTTTTAAATATTTTTTGTTTTGGCCCCTATCTTTCATGTTAGGAGCTTTCCTCAAATGACTGGCAATCTGGCTGCTTAAATTTAAGAGTGGGAGATTTTAAAGATGATGTGAAGCTCCAAGTACATGGGTAATATTCATTGACCCTGAATGTCTCTGTAAGGTGCTCCACTGAGATGTTTAGCTGGGGAACCCCCAGTGTAAAAACCTTTGGGTCTTACCTCTTGAGCTGGTCATGTTCCCCTAAGAAAGTTCTTTCATTCTTCTGCCTGGAGGGTAAAGGCCTGGATACCAGTGTCCTTGGGGCCAAGTGGAAGAAGCAGGAAGAGGACTCAACATTTCAGAGGACATACTTTGATTTAATCCTGTTCCTAGTACAGGTCTCCTGTCCTCAACTCTGACTGACGTTCAAGAGAATAAACGTCCAATCTTCTACTAAGGTGAGACAGGGAGGCTAAAGCGCTAACTGCTCCTTAAATTGTTTCAATCAATCTTTCACGTTTATGACAGCCTCCTCTGCCACCTCTTCTTTCAGTAGAAACTGGTGGCCCAGTTCAGGACAGTCATATATGACTGAGCAAGCTGTGCACTGCATCATTCTGAGTCCACCTCTCTTACAGGCTAGACAGGATAGATTTGTTTATTTGTTTATTTTTTTGAGATTCATTTATTTATTTTTTTGCTCCGTCACCCAGGCTGGAGTGCAATGGAGTGATCTTGGCTCATTGCAATCTCTGCCTCCTGGGTTCAAGCAATTCTCCTGCCTCAGCCTCCTGAGTAACTGGGACTACAGGCACCTGCCACTATGCCTGGCTAATTTTAGTTTTGGTAGAGATGGGGTTTTACCAGCTTGACCAGGCTGGTCTTGAACTCCTGACCTCAGGTGATTGATCCGCCTCGGCCTCCCAAAGTACTGGGATTACAAGGGTGAGCCACCGTGCCTGGATGTATATTTATCATGACAAATCTCTGGCAGATGGCTATAGAGTGTCTTGAGAAAGGGGAGGCTGTTTCTACTGCACCCGCAGGTGCAGCATGGGCTAGCAGCAGCCCTACTATCATCTCTTAGCCTGTTGAGAATCCAGCAGTGTAAGTCAGGCTGCAACTCATCTTTTCTCACTTCCATTTCATGACCTGCATTCCCAAGGCCTGCTAAATCAGTTGCAACTGGTCCGTTTGCTTTCTAACATCCAAAACTGTGTTGTGGTCTTTTCTTTCTTTCCCCCATCTGGTCTTTATGAATCTACATCTTTATCTTTTTTTTTTTTTTTTGAGACAGGGTTTCACTCTGTTGCTCAGGCTGGAGTGCAGTGGCATGATCAGGGCTCACTGCAGCTTCCACCTCCCAGGCTCAAGTGATTCTCATACCTCAACCCCCATGAGTCGCTGGAACTACAAGTGTGCCATGCCTGGCTGATTTTTTCAGTAGAGACAGGGTTTCGCCATGTTGCCTAGGCTGGTCTCAAAGTCCTGGACTCAAGCAATATGCCTACCTTGGCCTCTCAAAGTGCTAGGATTATAGGCATGAGCCACAGTGCCTTGCTATAACTTTTCCAAAAAGATTTCTTCAGTATAGTTTCAGGAAGATTTCAGAAAAAAAGTGAAATTAGATGTGTGCATTCAGTCTTCCGTGTTTGTCTGGAAGTCCGCACAAGGAGCATCAACAGAAGATTGCTGAAAGCTTTGGGGTAAATTCATTCCTTTGGAGTCTAAGCCATTGGTTCCAACCTCCCCAGGAAGTTATGGCAAAAGGTTTGTGGATAGGAATGTACTTGGCCAGAAAATGTTCTTCCCTTTAAAAATGTCTCTTAAGGCGGGGCAAGGTGGCTCCACCTGTAATCCCAGCACTTTGGGAGGCCAAGGTGGGTGATTGCCTGAGGTCGGGAGTTAGTGACCAACCTGGACAACATGGTGCACCTTGTCTTTACAAAAAATACAAAAATTAGCTGGGCTTGGTGGTTTGTGCCTGTATCCCAGCTACTTAAGAGGCTGAGGCAGGAGAATTGCTTGAACCTGAGAAGTGGAGGTTGTAGTGAGCCGAGATCATGCCATTGTACTCTAGCCTGGGTGACAGAGTGAGACTCCATATCAAAAATAAATAAATAAATAATAATAAAAAATTATCTGAAGAAAATAATCATGGAATGCATGCATTTAGCTATGTGGATATTCATCACAGTGTTGTTTATAATAAAAAATTAATAACAAGTCGGGCATCATGGCTTACGCCTGTAATTCCAGGACTTTGGGAGGCTGAAGCAGGCAGATCACTTGAGGTCAGTAGTTCAAGACCAGCCTGGCCAACACGGCGAAACCCTGCCTCTACTAAAAACATAAAAAATTAGCCATGCATGGTGGTTCATGCCTGTAGTCTCAGCTACTCAGGAGGCTGAATCAGGAGAATCGCTTCAACTCAGGAGGTGAAGGTTGCAATGAGCCGAGATCACACCACTGCACTCTAGCCTGGGTGACAGAGCAAGACTCCATCTCAAGAAAAAAAAGAAAGAAGGAAGGAAGGAAGGAAAGAGAGAGAGAGAGAAAGAAAAAGAAAGAAAGAGAAAGAGAGAAAGAAAGAAAGAAAGAAGAAAGAAAGAAAGAAGAAAGAAAGAAAAGAAAGAAAGAAAGAAAGAAGAAAGAAAGAAAGAAAGAAAGAAAGAAAGAAAGAAAGAAAGAAAGAAAGAAAGAAAGAAGGAAAGAAAGAAAGAGAAAGAAAGAAAAGAAAATTATGTAATTGACTGAATCCCTCCCTTCTCGGGTTTCCAGGAAACCCAAAGCCAACGTGGAGATCACCTCTGGCAACCTTGCCATCTCTTACCGCTTCTGTGATTGTGCTCTTCATCGGGTCATAATTTTCTGCAATTATTTCTATTTTCCCCATCCTGTGTCCTCTCTGCAACCCCCTCTCTTTTATTGCCATTTCAGTTTTCATTTTCAGTTGCCTCAAATCTTTGGTGATGAAGAGGGGTACACATAAACAAAACCCAAACAAATAAATACTGAAAATCTTTATCTGGGCTGGGCACATCATCACTGTGTTGACTCAGAATGTGCTCAGTACATTTTGTGGCATTTGAGTCCACGTCACTGGTCCCACCCAGCTGTTGCACCACTGGCAGGCGTTTTTGACACAAACACCTAGCAGTGGGGCGTTACTCAGACCTGATAGATCATGGTCTGTGTAGGGTAAACAGGCCGTAGTGGCAAGCCTGAGGACCTGCTGCCCTGGCTATTGCTCAGAGCTGGTTCTGCCTATGCAGGAGACAGGAAAAGAGGGAAATTGAAGGGGGTACGTTCATTCTGGGACAAGGCATGGTGGGACAAGGAGGGAGAGGTGATATTTGGGCAGCTGTGCCCTGGGCTTGGCTGTCCTTTCCCTGGCGGGCCCTGAGCTATTGTTCTTTTACCCAGATCAGTTAATACATGGACCTGGCACCTCTATGTTCCATCAGGCCTCTTTCTCCCAAATCCTAAACCCTCTGGGGTGAGGGGAATAGCACCTGGCTTTTCCCTGAGGATGGTGGCTTCCCCTAGTAGCAAGTGTTAAGGCTCTTTGTGGTGTGGATCTGGTCTTAGGAGCAAAGTCCTCTCTTTGCTCCCAAGCACGAGACAGTGTACTGAACATCGACTTTGGAATTAGATAGACCTGGAATTGGTCCAGGGCAAGACCTTGGGCAAGAATCTCTCTGAATTCCAGTTTCTCTGTAAATAAAATGAGGATAGGCCTGGCTCACAGTGGCTCAGGCCTATAATCCCAGCACTTTGGGAGGCACAGCCAGATCACCTGAGGTCAGGAGTTCAAGACCAGCCTGGCCAACATGGTGAAACCCTGTCTCTACTAAAAAATATAAAAATTAGCCGGGCATGGTGGCAGTCACCTGTAATCCCAGCTACTTGGGAGGGAGGTTGTGGCAGGAGAATTGCTTGAAACCAGAAGGTGGAGGTTGCAGTGAGCCAAGATCATGCCGCTGCCCTTCAGCCTGGGCAACAGGAGCGAAACTCTGTCTCAATAAATAAATAAATAAATAATAAAGTAAAATGAGGCTAACAATTCCTACCTTAGAATATTGACTTGAGCGTTACAGATAAGAAAGGTAAATACTGGGCACATGGTAGGTCCATAGAGAGCTCATCGTCATTAAATCTTTTCAAACCCTATTCAGCCAGGTTCTGGAAAGGAGAGAGCCCTGTGGGCATGCCCAGGCTGCTTCCCATCCCTGTGCAGTAGCCATACTGAGCTTTGCATCATTTCCACCACACACTAGATGAGGGTTTGTGTCTTGTTCTTTCCTGGCACACAATATGTGTCCCACTTCTCTGAGTGCCCACCAGGTTGGCCTCAGTGCCACTTGCTGCCTTTATCGGCTTTAGAGATGCGCCATGCATCATTGACCTCTCTTCTGAACCCACCACGCCTCATGCCTCTGTCAGCCCCGGTCACAGCCCAAAACATAAGGCTCCCCGGTAAGGTCACTGCCTCCTACCCCACTCTTCTTCCTGCATGGTTCTTTGCTTATTCTCTCTATCCAACATCCCAGGCCTATTCCCTCCCAGTTTTCCCACTGCCTCTGGAGCACACTCCTCTGCATCTTTGGCCTCCTAGGTGCCCCCTTCTACTTCCTTTTTTTTTTTTTTTTTGAGATGGAGTCTCGCTCTGTCGCCTATGCTGGAGTGCAATGGTGCAATCTCGGCTCATTGCAATCTCCATCTCCCAGGTTCAAGCTGTTCTCTTGCCTCAGCCTCCCAAGTAGCTAGGACTAGAGATGCGTGCCACCATGCCTGGCTAATTTTTTGTATGTTTAGTAGAGACGGGGTTTCACCTCGTTAGCCAGGATGGTCTCAATCTCCTGATCTCGTGATCCACCTGCCTCGGCTTCCCAAAGTGCATGAGCCACCGCGCCCGGCCACCTCCTTCCACTTGGGAGTGGGTTCTCAACTGGGCTTGGCCTTGGCTCAGGCTACCCTGCTCCCTGGCTTTCCCTCGGTCCTCCTGCGTGGAGGCTGCTGATTCTCAGACAGGGGTGCTGTTCTTTCCATATCAAGCTTACTGACTGTTTTCAAATTTCTTACTTTTTCTGTGATTCTATCAATTTTGAGGAAATGGTATTAAAATCTCCCACCAAATTTGTCAAGTTATCTTTGGGACTCAGTGGCTTTTTGCTTTATATATTTTGAGACTATTGTCATGTTCAGAATTGTTTTATCTTCTTGGTGAATTTCTTATTTTCCTTTTCCTTCTCCTTCTTTTTTGATTCAGTCTCACTCTGTCACCCAGGCTGGAGTGCAGTGGCACAATATTGGCTCACTGCAACCTCCACCTCCCAGGTTGCAGCAATTCTCCTGCCTCAGCCTCCTGAGTAGCTGGGATTACAGGCATGTGCTACCATGCCCAGTTACTTTTCGTATTTTTAGTATAGACAGGGTTTCACCATGTTAGTCAGGCTGGACTCAAAGTCCTGACCTCGTGATCCACTGCCTTGGCCTCCCAAAGTGCTGGGATTACAGGTGGGAGCCACTGCACCTGGCCAAATTTCTTCTTTTATCATTAAATAATGATCCGCTTTATCCCTATCAATCCTTTTTACTGCAAAGCTTATTTGTTCTGATATTAATTTCATACCTGCTTTCTTTTGATCACTATTTGTCTGGTATCTTTTTAAATTCCTTCCCTGCCTCCATGTTTTAACCTTTCTCTGACTTTATATTTTAGGTATGCCTCTTATAAATAGCAAATAAGTAAAGTTTTTATAAAAGCCAATCTGGCCAAGTACGGTGGCTCATGCCTGTAATCCCAGCACTCTGGGAGGCCAAGGCAGGCAGATCACCTGAGGTCGGGAGTTTAGACCAGCCTGACCAACGTGGAGAAATCCTGTCTCTACTAAAAATACAAAATTAGCCAGGTGTGGAGACACATGCCTGTAATCCCAGTTACTTGGGAGGCTGAGGCAGGAGAATCGCTTGAACCCAGGAGATGGAGGCTGTGGTGAGTGGAGATCATGCCATTGCACTTCAGCCTGGGCAATAAGGTTGAAACGCTGTCTCAAAACAAACAAACAAAAAACCATGGGATTAGAAATACCTTCACAATATCATGAATTTTTCCATATAATTCCCGTTTTTTATTTAACTGGAAGGGCCCACAGGCAAAGACAATCCAATACCAGTCAGTGCACCAAGCACTCAGAACCTGGTTTCTAAACACCATTCTCTACTGAAACAAATAATGGCTGATCCCAGATCTGGGACACGCAAAGTAAAGGTAAGCTTGCAACGTCTAGTCGTACCAGCAATCAAGGAAATGCTCAGAGATCGATGGATGTGTTAAAAGCACATAGGAGCCAGCTTGAAGGGCTCCCACTGGCCAAATGAGGAATAGTTTGAGTATTAAACATCACCACGCTGTATTGTAATAGCTATAATTTATTGTAGAAAAAAAGCAAACAATTCTACGAATCCATAGTGACAACCAAAAGAAAAAATAAAACTTTGCTGTTATTGAGAATATTTCACCACCTCTACTCTATCAATAGGAAAGAAGCCATTACCTTGCCTATTTATTTATTTATTTATTTTTTGAGACAGAGTCGTGCTCTGTTGCCCAGGCTGGAGTGCAGTGGCACCATCTCGGCTCACTGCAACCTCCACCTTCTGGGTTCAAGAGATTCTCTTGCCTCAGCCTCTCATGTAGCTGGGATTACAGGTATGTGCCACCAAGCTAATTTTTGTAGTTTTAGTAGACACAGGGTTTCACCATGTTGGCCAGGCTGCTCTCGAACTCCTGACTTCAGGTGATCTACCCACCTCAGCCTCCCAAAGTGTTGGAATTACAGGTGTGAGCCACTGCGCCTGGCTGACCTTGCCTCTTCAGAAAGAAGTGCAGTTCATCTCCACTGATGAGGGAGCTTTTCCTCACAGAATAATGTCAGCTAAAATATACAAAAGAAATAGTAGAATTAGAACATCTTCATTCTGCACCTCTTCCAATGTAATAATTAATTCAGGCAAATATCTTGAATGTATCTGCTATGTTCGTCAGGTTGCCAAGGTGTCTTTAAGATGCGAAGGGATCCGAATTCTGTTACTTGCTAATTACAAAGGGAAATAACCTACCTTTCCAACCAAAAGGTCTGCTTTTGTGACCACCTTATGAAGTGAAAAAACTAAGGATTGCTAATAGTGGGACAAGTAGGCATTGTGTACCTCCTGATATGGCATAATGTGAAGTTCTCACTTCACCTTTAAGTGTTCTTGGCCAGGTGCAGTGGCACATGCTTGAAATCCCAGCACTTTTGTAGGTTGAGGCAGGAGAATCACTTGAGGCCAGGATTTCAAGACCAGCCTGAGCAACATATCAAGACCCCTATCTCTACAAAAAATAAAAAAGTTAGCCAGGTGTGGTGGTGCATGTCTGTAGCCCCAGCTACTCAGGAGACTGAGGTGGGAGGATCACTTGAGTCCAAGGGTTTGAGGCTGCAGTAAGCTACGATCACACCACTGCACTCCAGCTGGGTGACAGAGCAAGACTCTGTTTCAAAAAACAAAACAAACAAAAAACACACCAAAAACAAAAAACAAAAAAAAAAAAAAAACCTCACAGTAAATTAAAAGAAAGCTGTATAAATTCCAAGAAGCTGATGCGAAATCCTGAGTCCATGGGTCAATTCAGGAGGGATCATCTCGAGTGCAGGGAGCCCCCAAAAGTCAGTTTCTTTAGGCCTATTTCCGTGGGCCAGCCAAATTTCTCAGGGAAAACATTGTTCTATTTTCAGTAAGATGGAAAGATGGTTAATTGAGGAGTCTTAACAATTTTTTATTTTTATTTTTGAGACGGAGTCTTGTTCTGCTGCCCAGGCTAGAGTACAGTGGCATGACCGTGGCTCACTGCAGTCTAACTCGTGGGCTCAAGCAATCCTTCTGCCTCAGCCTCCTGAGTAGCTGGAGCCACAGGTGCGTGCCACCATACCTGGCTAATATTTGTATTTTTTGCAGAGACAGGTTCTTGCTACATTGCCCAGGTTGGTCTCAAACTCCTGGGCTCAAGCAATCCTCCCGCCTTGCCTTCCCAAAGTGTTGGGATTACAGGCGTGAGCCACTGTGCCCAGCCTCAAAATTGAATGTATAAAGTTTTCCTTAGTACAAAAACCTTGCCCCCTGCAACAATACCTAGTTTTCTCCAGGCCAGAGTCCCACTCTTTTACCCTTTCAGATAGAATAAGCATCTGGTTTTCTGCTGCTTTGGGGGTACCCAGCCAAGTAGAGCTGAAGAGAACGGCTGCTTCTCAAACAGACTCTCGACCAGCTGCCATATATCTAGCCCCACTGCCACCCATTCTTGCAGAAAAATGTTGATCCTCATGTCAGAGGCTTTGGAGAGTTTAGTGAACATTAGGGACCTTCCTGGCTTTGTCCACTGCAGCTTCAAAATGTATCTCAGGTGTGTCTGTCGCCACCGTTTGACCATTTGGAAGCTTTCCAGCTTCCAAAATGTTGTTATTTTTATCTCCTTTTCTATTTTTCCTGTGGGTTTATGCATTTTGTAAAAAGTGCACTTCAATGCCACGTTATTGAGATTTCAGAAAACAGCAGAGGCTAATGCATGCAATCAATCCACCATCCTTTACCGGAGGTCAATCAGATGCTCTTTAGTCTCTTTTCTCCATATACCAGTTTAAAAGTTACTCATTCTTTCTATTCATTTTATGGGTTATCCCTAAAATTTTAATATTCCTGTCTGACCTAACAAAGTCTAAAGATAATC